TATGGTGGTACTGATGTGTAATCAGAACACTTAGGAAGTAAGGTAGGAGGATCAGGAGTTCAAGGTCAGTATCCACTATGTTGTGAATGCCTGGGTTATCTGAGAGTCTGCCTCAAAAGCCAAAAACCAAGCAGACAAGCGAGCAAATGGTAAAACAAACAAAAATACAAACAAGAAACTCATTATCAATGATCATGTAATGCACATATTTAAATCAACAATCATGTAACGTATATATTTAAATCAATGATCATATAGTACACATATTTAAATCAATAAGCATGTAATGCACATATTTAAATTACTGATCATATAGTACACACATTTAAATCAACAATCTTGTAACACACATATTTAAGAGCATCTTAGTGGCACTTAGTACAATCACAGAGTTGTGATTTAATTTTTATTACTCCAAAATGGAACCCTGTTCTCCTTACGTGCCACTCCTCACCCCTCTGCCCTGGCTCCCTCAGCTCTAGGTATTTCCTGTTGTAGCCTTCTATGTGAGTGGGACCATCCAGTCTTCATAGCCCTTTACAATTGGCTTCATTTAGCAAGTCTTAAAGATTCCTCCATGTTGTTGCAGAGCTCGGAACTGCCTCCTTCTCTTTTCTCCTGTCCCCTTCTCATGCCTCTCTTACACCTCCTGTTTCTCCCATTTACTCTGCTATCCTCCTCTTTTGTGCTCTCTCTGTCTGTCTGTCTGTCTGTCTGTCTGTCTGTCTGCCTGCCTGCCTGTCTCTGTCTCTGTCTCTGTCTGTCTCTGTCTCTGTCTCTGTCTCTGTCTCTCTCTCTCTCTCTCTCTCTCTCTCTTCTTTTTTCCCCAGTGCTGAAAAAGGACCCAGGGCTTGCACATGCTGGGCAAGCCCACTATTAGTGAACCATACTCCTTGTTCCAGGCTCTTTGTATATTCAAGCTATATTCCAGTGTATGGGTGTCTCACGTTTTGCTTCTCGATTTTTCCATTGATGGATATTTGGGCTCTTCTCCTTCTTGGGCAGTCATGATAATGCTACAGTGGACATTTGTGTCCTAGTGTCGTGTGGATGCATGCTTTCATCTCCCTTGGGTGTACACACAGGCCCGGGGTAGACTTGGAGTGCCTTCTGTACTGCACGTTACAGGGATACACTGCCAGTTGTTTTCCAGAGGGACTGCCCTGGCTCATACCCCACCGTTCATATAGGAGAGCTAATAGTTATCTTGTCAAAGCCTGGCCTTGTCCCTCTTGTTGGCCACTTACACACCCTTTTCAGAGAACTGCTCCGCGTTTGCAAGTCCTGAGGTGACAGAATTGCCCACAGTCCTCTGAGGCCTCACTGGTTGAGGATATCAAGGACGTTACTCAGCAGGCCTGCCAGCTCTGGCTCTCACCTCCATCTCCTCACGCTCCCTGCCTCAGCCTCACTGGCCTCCTTTGGACTCAGATCTTTGCATCTTCTGTTCCCTCTGCCTGAGTTACTCTTCCTCCTGCCTGGCTTTGTAGTCTGTACTAGTTTCCTCTTGTTGCTGTAACAAATAATCACAAATTGAGTGGAGGCTTCCAACAGCACAGCTGGAAGCCATTCCCTTGGCCTACAGCCCCTCCCTTCACCCTCAAGGCAGCCAGCTGAAGAGAATCTTCACCTGTGTTTCTCTCACCTCCCTTTTCAAATTCTCCCCTATCCACCCCATCAGGGTCTCAAAGCCACCAAACTCAGCTCTTTGCCCTCCTTTTAGAAGGACTCTGGTAGTAACAGGACTGATTCAGGCAGTCGGGGAAGGTCCCCTTCCCTCTACGTCCTTAGCTAGTCCCCTTCCCACAGCCCCTTTGGCCTCCTGAAGACAGTATATTCAAGATTTGGGGTCTAGGAACCAGATGCTTTTGGGATAGATATTGGTCAGTCTGTCTGTCATAGTTCTGTTTCTTGGAGGGACCCATCTGTCCCTGCCCCAACTTCTTAGCCCATCAACAGGTTCACCTTGCTTCCCCTGAACATGCTCACCGGTCCCTTGTCCCTGCTTTGGCTATGATGGACAAAAGAACAACCGAACCCATGGTCACTGTCCTTATGGAACTGTCACAGGGACAAACACAGCCATGGGGTTGGCACTTGGCTAACTGTGACACTCTGGGTAGAACTGCAAGGAGCTGTGTTGGCAACAGTGCAAAATTATGCATTCCTTCTTTACTTTTTGAAACAGGGTCTTGCTGTGTAGACCAGACTGGCCTCCAATGCAGTAATCCTTCTGCCCTTGTCTCCCATATGCTAGCATTACTGGCATGAACTGACACACCTGGCTTCCCTTTGCACTTGTTTGATATAAAATAGACGTTGTTCTCATGGAAAAGACACACTGCACGGACAATCCCACCCTCCCTGGCCAAGTCCACTAGGCCACTCTCTCATCCTTCACAAGGTGCTGGCTTAGGTAAGACCCTGTTCTTATTTGTTAATGTTGTAGTTCAAGCCTTCTCTCAGTTGATCTAGGCTCATTATAAATGGCAATAGTTTTATTACCATTTGCCAAGCTTGATGGTGAATGCCTTTAATCCTAGCACTCTGGAGGTAGATGCTGGAGAATTTCTGTGAGTTTGAGGCCAGCCTGGCCTACATAGTGTGTTCCAGGCTAACTAGGACTACATAGTGAGACCCTGTCTTAAATTCTTTTTCAAAATATTCATTTTATTATTGTTATCATTGTTTTTATTGTCATGGTGCTGGACACTGAGCCTAGAGCCTCATCTCACATGACTGGCAGCTTTTCTCTCCAGCTCATAAAGTTTGTTAGTTTGGTTGGATGGATTTTGTTTGTTTGTTTTGCAGAACTGGGGTTTAAAACCAGGGTCTCATGCATGCTAAACCACTGAGCTATATTCCCAGCCCTTAAAAGGTATTTTTCTTTTTCTTTTTTTAAGATAGGGTCTCACTATGCAGAATAGGCTGGCCTTGAACTCATAGATCTGCCTTCTATCTTGCAAGTGAAAGGATTACAGGCATGAACCACCGTACCCAGCCCTGCTGCTGAATTTATTGACATAGGGGATGCATTTAGAACAAGCACTGAGAATGATGCAGCCTGGGGAGGTGTAGCATGACGGAAGAGCACTTGTTGGCGTGTGCAGGTGACCCCAGGCTCCATCCCCAGTACTGCAAAACAAAACAGAACAAAAATGAGGAATAACCAAAAAATCCAGCCTTGGCCAGGCAGTGGTGGCTCATGTCTTTAATCCCAGCACTTCGGAGGTGTAGGCAGGAGGAGTTCTGTGAGTTCAAGGCCAGTCTGATCTACAAAGCAAGTTCCAGGACAGACAGGGCTGTTGCACAGAGAAACCCTGACTTGAAAAACAAAAATAAAACAAAAACCCAAAATCAAAACGGCAACAGCAAAATCAAGCCTTGGTGCCAAGAGTTCAAAAATCCCAGAGCAGGAATTTATGTGAGAACAAAGTCAAGTGTTTGGGGGACTGTGGTTGATACAGTGCTTGCCTCCCATGAATGAGGCTCTGGGTTCAGCCCTAGCACCACCAAAAATAAATAAATAAATAAATAAATAAATAAATAAATAAATTAACTAATGAAAAAAAAAGTCATTAAGTACTGTGCTGGAGACCGGGATGAGCTTTTAGAGAGAACAAAACTCCATGGAGCTTTTCTGTTTGTATTGTGGGCTGGGGTTGGGGGAGCAGGGGACAGGAAGACCAGAGACAAAGCTCAGAGCTCCCTAGGACCATAAAGACATCAGAGCCATGATAAATACAATGGACCTTACACTGTCAGTCCCCTCTAGAAAAATGGGGAAGGAAGGGCCGAGACATTCTCCTACAGAGAAAGCCTCCAGAAGTGCCCTGTAGGAATGGAAAGTTCCAGGGTTGCTGTTTTAGTCACTGGAAACTCCAAACCAGATTCCTAGCCCGTGGGAAGTGATGCAACAGCCCAGAGTCCCCTTCCACTGTTCACAGGAGCAAAGAGGAAGAAGGAGTGAGGTCATGACAAAGCCAGCTGTGGACTGGGGCTCGGCCTGCCAGAGCTTTGACCCTCCCTGAATTTCAATTTCCTCCCTGGAGAAACAGGAAGTGAACCCCAGGGTGCCTTCTAAAAGGGAGAGTTTAGTCTGCACCCAGGAGCAGGACGGGCAGAGAGTTGGGGGACTCAGTCCCTGCCAAGGGCCTCGCTAGGCTATGGCTCTTATTAATCTGATCAAAGTTGTCCTCATCTTCTACCTGGTAGACCCAAGGAAAACACTGGCTGCATTCTGGCAGCCCATCTTCACACTTTCCCCACACGTGCGCATGCAGATCTCGTGTTCCACAAAGGGCCCGGGCTAATGGCTTGGTCACCAGCTTGGTACCTGGAGAGGTAGGAGCTCTAAGGGATGAGGTCCAGGGAGAGTCTTCCAAGTACTCAGAGATATGCTCTCAAAGAGATATGGGAATCCAGCGCCTTCCATGAGGTGGCTTCCATGAGCTCTTTGTCATGAGGCATTGCCACAGGCAAAAGCAGAATCAAAAGACCATGCTCGGAAACCTCTCAAAATGTGTGCCAAGCCTTCCCTCTTTCTAAGGTGACTGCCTCTGGTGTTTTGTCAGAGTGACTGAGAGTTGATTGACACAGCAAGTGAGCAGCCCTGGTTCAAATCTTCCCAGGCACTTCCTTGCTGTACATTTAGGGAAGGCCTCATCACCTCTCCCAGAACCTCAGTTTTCTCATCAACCTCAGAGGAAGTTACAAGGACTGGATGAACTGATTCTATACACTGGGACATGTGGGTTAACACTTGGCACTCGGTCATGGGGACGAGTGTTATATCCATTGTTCTATGCTGATTGCCAAATCCTGGAAAGCCTACCCAGTCTTACAGTCCTCCAGAGCAGGGGCAGCCCAGCCTCCTGAAATGTCCCTCTCCTGATTAGCCAAACTCCACTGTATTCCCTCAGCCTCTTACAGATGAAAGGCTCAGAGACATACAGTCACTTGCCTGAAGTCACAGAGCTAGTCAGTGCACAAAGGCGTCTATGCACTGGAGAGCAAGGAGAGTGGTCCAGCAAAGGGGCTCCTGCAGGGGTCCCTCTGCACACTCCCAGGTAAATGAAACTGCAGGAAGCCCATTTAGACAGGTTCAGGCAGACCTCTTTCCCAGGAGCAAATGAGCGCAGCTGTGACTAAAGAGAAACCATCAAGAGACAGTCTACCAACTGGGTTAGATCCAAGTGTGTCTTTTTGTGGCTGTGGGTTTTCTAAATCACTTTAGATCTTCCCACACCCCACACCCCACACCCCATACCCTCCCTCGCAGGACCACAGCTCAGGATCTGCTTTCTCTAGAATGACTCAGAAGCCAAGACTTAAGAGCAGAGGGGAGCCATTGCAGTACATTGAGCTCCATAGAGACAGCGCTGGGGCAAGCGCGAGCCGGACAGGCACTGGGCGACTCTGTGCCTCGCTGACGAAAATCATCTAAACACGGGCAAAGGAGATCCTAAGAAGCCGAGAGGCAAAATGTCCTCATATGCATTCTTTGTGCAAACTTGCCGGGAGGAACACAAGAAGAAGCACCCGGATGCTTCTGTCAACTTCTCAGAGTTCTCGAAGAAGTGCTCAGAAAGGTGGAAGACCATGTCTGCTAAAGAAAAGGGGAAATTTGAAGACATGGCAAAGGCTGACAAGGCTCGTTATGAAAGAGAAATGAAAACCTACATCCCCCCCAAAGGGGAGACCAAAAAGAAGTTCAAGGACCCCAATGCACCTAAGAGGCCTCCTTCGGCTTTCTTCTTGTTCTGTTCTGAGTATCGCCCAAAAATCAAAGGAGAACACCCTGGTTTGTCCATTGGTGATGTTGCAAAGAAACTGGGAGAGATGTGGAACAACACTGCTGCAGATGACAAGCAGCCCTATGAAAAGAAGGCTGCCAAGCTGAAAGAGAAGTACGAAAAGGATATTGCTGCTTACAGAGCTAAAGGAAAACCCGATGCAGCGAAAAAGGGGGTGGTCAAGGCAGAAAAGAGCAAGAAAAAGAAGGAAGAAGAAGATGATGAGGAAGATGAAGAGGATGAGGAAGATGAGGAAGAAGAGGAAGACAAAGATGAAGAAGAAGATGATGATGATGAATAAGTTGGTTCTAGCGCAGTTTTTTTGTCTATAAAGCATTTAACCCCCCTGTACACAACTCACTCCTTTTAAAGAAAAAAAATTGAAATGTAAGGCTGTGTAAGATTTGTTTTTAAACTGTACAGTGTCTTTTTTTGTATAGTTAACACACTACCGAATGTGTCTTTAGATAGCCCTGTCCTGGTGGTATTTTCAGTAGCCACTAACCTTGCCTGGTACAGTCTGGGGGTTGTAAATTGGCATGGAAATTTAAAGCAGGTTCTTGTTGGTGCACAGCACAAATTAGTTATATATGGGGACGGTAGTTTTCTTTTTTTCTTTTTTTCCCATCTTCAGTTGTCTCTGATGCAGCTTATATGAAGATAATTGTTCTGTTAACTGAATACCACTCTGTAATTGCAAAAAAAATTGCAGCTGTTTTGTTGACATTCTGAATGCTTCTAAGTAAATACAATTAAAAAAAAAAAGAGCAGAGGGACACTCATCCAAGCTCTCCCTCCTTTGGGACATGGAAAACCAGAGTCCTGAGACCAGCTGGCAGCTACATAGCCAGCTCTGGGCCCAGTGACCCTGACCCTCAAGGGAGGCCCAGCCTTGGGCTTAGAGCAGCCCCAGGTGAGATGATGCCCCACCCATGCATCATGCTCTGGGATGGGTGCCGAGCACTTGCACTCTTGCCCAGCAATGTCCTTGACTCCAGAGACATGGTGAAAGAGGTAGCTCAGACACCCGGGAGGAGCAGCGGGGCAGGATGGGCCTCTCCCTTTCAGGCGGCACCTCCTGCTCTAAGCAGAGTCCTCTCTTGTCTTCCAGCCTCCTACGTGATCACAGACCTGACACAGCTGAGGAAGATCAAATCCATGGAGAGGGTACAGGGTGTGAGCATCACTCGGGAGCTGCTATGGTGGTGGGCCATGCGACAGGCCACTGTCCAGCAGCTGGTGGACCTCCTGTGTCACCTGGAACTCTACCGAGCTGCCCAGATTGTCCAGAGCTGTGAGTAACCGTCTGTTCTCAAGGGGGTCTCAGCAAGGACTGTGTGTCTGTCTGAAGATCTTGTCCATCTTTCACAAGGGGTGAAACCAACTTGGGTAAGATGAGCTCTCTACCACAGAGCTGGGCCCTAGCCCTAGGACCCTTCTTTCTCCAGGTTAAAATTCACACAGCAAGGCATTTATTTATCAGATTTTATCTGCAGGCCTGCTGTGTACCCTATTTGGCACTGGGTTTATCAGGAGACATGCTGACTAGCCAGACACCTAAACTTTTTATTTTTGTAATTAAAAAAATATTGGAGCTGGTGATGGTGGCACGTACTTTTAATCCTAGCACTTGGAAGGCAGAGGCAGGTGGATCTCGTTAGTTGAGGCCAGCTTGGTCTACAGAATGAGTTCTAAGACAGCCATGGCTACACAGAGAAATGCTGTCTCAAAAAACCAAAACAAAGCAACCAAACAACAACAACAACAAAATGGAGGCCAGGAAGATGGCTCAGTGGGTAAGAGCATTTGTTGCCAAGCCTCAAGACCTGGTTTGATCTCTGGGACCCACATAACGAAAGGAGGGACTCCCAAAAGTTGTCCTCTGACCTCCCTACATGTGTTGTAGTAGCTGTGCCTCTCCCACAAACACACAGAAAAAAAATAAATTGAAGAAATTTAAATACTGAGGAGCCAGGTAGACAGTAAGAGCAGGAAAGGAGAATAAACAGATCAAGAGATAAAAGTGATGGGGTAGGGAAGCCTTGTAGAACTGTGGCCAGGGACAGCCAGTCCAAAGAGAGAACACTGCAAGAGTGGAAAGAAATGGCCATGGGTCAGAGAACCCAGGGAAAGGTGGGACTGGGCTAGGGGTGTAGCTCAGGGGTAGGGCACTTGCCTAGAGGTGCAAGGCCCTGAGCTCCAACACCAACACTACAAAAAAGAAAAGGGGCATCTGAGGTCTGGAAAGTCCCAGCATGGGCTTTGAAGTTGACCTGTGTGGGGATCGGAATGGTCCAGAGACCCTGATCTAGCACTTGCCTGGATGACCTGACCAGAAGCCTTCTTGTAGAGAAGGATGGGGTCAGAGTGTAGAGAAGGAAGGATGGGGTCAGAGTGTAGAGAAGGATGGGGTCAGAGTGTAGAGAAGGAAGGATGGGGTCAGAGTGTAGAGAAGGATGGGGTCAGAGTGTAGAGAAGGAAGGATGGGGTCAGAGTGTAGAGAAGGAAGGATGGGGTCAGAGTGTAGAGAAGGAAGGATGGGGTCAGAGTGTAGAGAAGGAAGGATGGGGTCAGAGTGTAGAGAAGGAAGGATGGGGTCAGAGTGTAGAGAAGGAAGGATGGGGTCAGAGTGTAGAGAAGGAAGGATGGGGTCAGAGTGTAGAGAAGGAAGGATGGGGTCAGAGTGTAGAGAAGGAAGGATGGGGTCAGAGTGTAGAGAAGGAAGGATGGGGTCAGAGTGTAGAGAAGGATGGATGGGGTCAGAGTGTAGAGAAGGATGGATGGGGTCAGAGTGTAGAGAAGGATGGGGTCAAAGTGTAGAGAAGGATGGGGTCAGAGTGTAGAGAAGGATGGATGGGGTCAGAGTGTAGAGAAGGATGGGGTCAGAGTGCTCCAGCCTCAGGCTGTAGCACACATGGGATTTCAGGGTCACCCTGGGCCTGGTGCTAGGTAACTCCCTGGGATTTAATGTGTGTGGGTTTTCACACTAGATGACTTGCCCTCTGGAGCTTAAATAGGAGGTGTTTGTTGCAGCAGGAGAGAGTCCAGCCAGGCTTGCTTCTTTCTGCATTCCCAGAAATCGTCCCATAAACCAAGACCCTGCCTGTTGGCCATGGCTTCCCCCAGGCTCTGGCTCTGTCCTGTTTGTACTTCCCTACCCAGTTTCCTTCCATGTCCACCTTCCCTCAGACTGGATGGGGTAGTCTGCTTGACTCACAGTCCTTTAGAACCTGCTGGAACCTCTCCTGTCCTGTTCTGAGCTGTGCCAGACCACTCTTCCTCGTCTCTATTCCTGATGGCCAGCCAGGGAGGCCCAGGGCGACGCACAACTGAGTGAGTCCAGGCCTGGCCGGTGTTACAGCCCTGGAAGACTCCCCTCCTGTCAGCGTGCAGACCCCACCATTGTGAAGGCATCAGCCTGGATGCCAAGCAGAGCCCTGTCTGGGATTCTTGGAGTCTTGGTACTTGTGATCACTGGAACCAAGAGGCATTTCATTTGATCATGTGATCAGCCCCTGACAATTGTGACCTCATTTTTCTCTGTATTCTTAGAAAATTGAAATGTGACAGATGCTGAGAAATGATAATGTTTAAACCGATGTGATGGCAAATATTTGTAACCCATCCCTTGGAAGGTAGAGGTAGGAGGATCAAGAATTCAAAGCCAGCTTTGGCCACATAATGAGTTCAGGGCTAGCTTGGGCTATATGAGGGAGGGTTCCCAGAAATATGCAGAGCTGCCAGCTCATATGTGTCACAGTGGGTTTGCTGCAGGTTCACTTTGGGGAGGCAGTTGGCCAGGCCAGGCGAAACCCTGAGACTGACAGTGGTGTCCCATCGGAGGTGACAGCAGAGGAAGAATCCCAGAGGTTCAGGGGCTGAGCCTGCTGCCACATCCCCAGTCATTGATGGCAGGGATCATTGACTAATCTAGGAAAAATCTTTAGCATTCGAGGTCAACAAAGACTGTAGCACCAGATTTAAAGCAATGCCAGGCTCAGTGGTGCACACTTAATTCCAGCACTTGGGAGGCCAAGACAGACTGATCTCTATGAGTTCTGGTCAGCCAGGCCTGTATAGAGAGACCCTGTCTCAAAAACAAGCAAACAACAACAAAAGAATGGTTATGTGGCTTGAGGTCCCAAGGTCTAAGATCCACCTAGTCTCATCTGGATCCGGGGCTCACTGCTCCACTCTTCCACAGAAGTTGAGCAGAGCCTGTGGCCACCACCTGTGGGCTCTCTGGTCTCCAGGGAGCACCACTTCCCAGCTTAGAGCCCTTGTCTGACCAGGCCCTCCCCTTCTCCTGCCTTTTGCTCCCTCATACCCCCAAACACACTTCTGTTTTGCCCAATCCTGCTGTCTGAAGCCACCTGAGGCTGGGCCCCACTTCCCTGCCCCCTGGCTATACTTGTGAGGGTCTGGCTATGCTCACCACCGCATCAAGTCCCCAGGTGACACACTTCCCCTTTCTGACTCTTGCTGTTTTTCATTAAAGAGAAAAATGTTGCCTGCCCCTGTTGGAGGTGAACACCCAGGGTGTGTGTGTGTGTGTGTGCACTCAAGTTCCTGTGTTGGGAATGCTCATCGTCCCCTTTTCTAGCCATGATATTTAATCTTATTTTGCAGTTACCTGCTTAATTATTAACTTGCTCAGCCTCAATTAACTTGAAAAATTGACTTCTGGCCAAATGAACTTAGAACCTCATACATGCTAGACAACTGTTTTACAAGTAAACCACACCCTTAGGAACAAACCTGTGTGTGTGTGTGTGTGTGTGTGTGTGTGTGTGTGTGTGTGTGTGTGTGTGAGAGAGAGGGGGGGCATGGCTGGCATTAAAGATGTGTGCTACTGTGTTTAGCTCCTGCACATTTCTTTCTCACGTTTTTTTATGTGTATGAGTGTTCCTCCTGCATTTATATATGTGCACCACATGTGTGCAGTGTAGTTCAGTAGTTCAGAAGAGGGAGTCAGAACCCCTGGAACTGGAGTTAGGGAAAGCTGTGAGCCATTATGCTGAGAATCAAACCCTGTCCTCTTCAAGAACAGCCAGTGCTCTTTGAAAAGTTTCTACACTCCGATAAGCCTCTCCACCGATGCAGCAATCCAAATCAGACCCAATCAAACCGAATTAGAAAAAGCCCACATTGAATGGGTACAATGCCCCTGGATGGCTTTCCAGACCCCCAGAGAGGAGATGGGAAAGAGACACCAGAAAACCATGTATCTATTTTCTGGGAGGCAGTTTAAATACCCTGTGGGAGTGGTCTTGAACATCTCTGGGGGAGGAGTCATCATTTGGTGGGCTTTCTGAGATGCAGCAGGGTTTGGAGAGAGATAGGGAAGGGGGCTTGGGTAGAACCTCCACCA